GGCTCTGATGCTGCCACCGTTGATGTTGCTGCAGCCAATACCGATTCGATAAAGCAGAGATTCAGCGTGACAAATGGAACGAGTGGAGGAACGCATCGACCTTATACATCTAGCGACGCATTTAGCCGGAAAAGTTATGCGACGTTGCGACTTGGCCTCATTGGCAAAACCGATTATGTGTCTTGAATCGCTCACGCGCTTTAATCGTACTCTGTCGAACGTCGTTTGAGGGGAATATTTTGTGCGATTGGAACGCGATATGTTCAACGAGATCGAAAATAAAAATGTTGGCCTCGTTAGTCAGATCGAAGATTCAGCCAGCGAACGATTTGTCGTTTACAGACTTACCTATTAATATGTGCGTCAGTATTCCGTTTGAGCTATTTTGAAAATAAGCGATTTAAATAAATGTAATAAAGAGGAGCGCGCATGTTATGCGAGTAATTTGCAAGTGTAATCCGCGTTTTTGTGGATCGAGAGCGACTCCATGAAGATTTTATATTATTTATGATGATTGGATGATCGCACACACAGCGCAGACAAATACATTATTAACCGCAAGTACGTTTGGCTTAATGGAAACGCGGATGCGGCCTGATTCGTCCAATAAATGATCGTGTTGTAGCGATCTTGCGTATAACGAATTCACGTTTAAATGGAGGATAACGAGACCGTTTCCCCCTCGTAAGTGTAGAAAGGTCGTACACGCGCTGTTTGTACGATCATAATTAACCGGGCGCGCTTTTTTCCTCTCTAACATTTTTTTTCCGGTGCTCTCTTCCGCCGGTCAGTAATTAATCGCATGGCGCGCGAATGACGTTTTATTTAATTTCGTCATTATACCTGGCTTCAAGCGTACGAACGTGGGGGAGAGCCGACAGTAATAATTAAAATCTTTCGGTTCGACAGCTCGCGCATTGAACCGTGCGACGTGATGGGAACGTACTGTACAAGAGCGCAAAGGTTCAACGATGGGGGTTTGGTTTCATTAATATTTTTCGATCGAGCAAAAAGTCGCGCGACGCTTTGCGTCCGTGTAATTGTTGATGAACAACTGTTTTCGTCTAACAAACCAGTTCGCACATTCACGCGTTCACCGTTCACGCGCCGTATAATTGTCTCTCGCATCGTCGAATCGTTTCGCTTGGCAGGCTCGAACTTAATTTGCGAACTTAATAAATCCTTTGCATTAGCGAATATCAAAATGCTTTCTACGTATTTCACTCTACTTTTCTCGTAAATTTGACCGTATGTATTACACGTAAAATAAGTAGGCAAAAGGTTCGCGACACGCAAAGTGCGTTTCATGCCTACTACGACTATATTACGTTGCTCGCATTAGGCAGCATGCAAATGACTGTCTGCGCGATTTAATTGAAAATGTAATAATCCGGTTGGTTATTAGCGGAGGCAAGATTAAAAAGCCGCCGTCTCTAAAGTTTTCAGGGATTCTCACGAAAGAGGCACGCGGAGTTTACGAATTTAATATAAACGGTATCCCCTAGCATACACGTTTGAAGATTAGAGTTTGCTTATGAAGGAAAATTGGCGCGCGTATAATCGATGCAAATATTTTATCGTGCCTGATGTCCTCCTGAGAGATATATTTTTTAACAAACGTCTGGCTCTTTCGCGCTCATTTACAGTCTTTGATGAATTAATACATAAATAAATTAAATATTAATTCACACAATCAATCATTTGATGCTTAATTGCAATGATTTATGTTTATTAATTCTACGAATCTATGATTATTCTACAATGTATGGCTTTTCAGAAATTCATAACCTCTAATTGCTGATTATCTGCAGATCAATTCAACAGATCTAATATATATGCGATTAAATTAATCATAATTTGAATAATTCCCTTTATCTTGATTATTTTTAGTATTATATTTTTACAATTAATTAATTGTGTATTATTTATTTGTATAGTTGGTAGATCTTTATAGATATATAAAATGAACCTAGAATGAAGATATAAAATGCAACCTTGGAATTAGTAATTAATCAGTTATAGAAATATGAAAACTCTTTCTATACATTACAATCTTACTTGAAAAATCAATCATTCTCCACAATGAATAAGAATCGAATATGAATACTAATGATAGATTCCTCAAATAGTGATTCGCAGAATAGAGACGGATATATGACACATGAATACTAATCTATAATCAATTGCGCATTAAATTCAAAATTAGACATAATGTCTATTTCCAAACATAAATGTCCGGCTATTTAATTTTTAATCGAGAAATTAATAAAAAAATTATGACTATAAAAATTATTATAAATTATATTAAAAATTATCCATTCCTTTTGCTTCTAATTCTCTATTTCACATTTGTTGTTCTTCTATTATTTTATACTTATTATCCGTTGATTATAAATATTTCTTATTTTTTAAAAAGAGTCTATGCCGTGCATATGCAAGGAAATAGCCAAGTCAATGGCAGCTCATTCAATTAATTCGTCCCCTTGTTCGTTCTGATGAAATGTCGAGATACGACATCATTACTTCAGGATAAGGTAAAGATGTGGAAGATGTGATACTGTGGTAGTTCTCGTTTCCTTGTATAACCTATCTACAGATACGTCCAGGCTTGGATATCATCAGATCAGATAAGAGTGCGCTTCCGCCGTATAGAAGAATTACAGACCGCGCTGCGCCGGGCGCGAAAAAGATGAATCAAGTTTCGCAACGCCTTCTGTTTGACATACAGTAAATTTTCAAGTATATCGTTTGTGGAAATAATGCCCGCCGCATGAGATCGGTAGAAGTATCATGCCGGAGGAATACTAATGCGATGAAAAGTCGCTTGCAATGCGTACGGCGAATGCGTTACATGAATAGACTTAACGAGAAAGAACAAATGTATGTATAATGAGATATTGATGCTGCGAATGTAATTACGTTGTTATATCAAACTCCATAGCTACGAAATTTGTTGTATTTCACTGTGTAAAGTTGAACTCCTAATATCACCCAGCGGAACTTGTTTGAATCCGTTGAAGTTCGATAGTCTCGCGAGCCTCGTTTATTATTATTTCCCATTTTTCTCTCTGGTGATAAAGAAAGATGCAATTCATCGAAGAAACGCTATCAAATCAACGATGGGAAATCAAAAACGTTTTAATACACGTCAAAAAGATTTCCAATCTCTGATTAATTGCATAATCTTATTCCGATACGACGTGCTAATTAATGTGGCATTAAGCACGGAGATTCGCGTCCTTATTCGAGCACTAATGCCGCGACGTATACATGCGTTAACGTTGAAATGTCACGCGTGCACGCGCACATCTGCTTCGATACAGTTGGGGTTTGAGACGATTATCAGGTGTGTATTTGGAGTAATGTGCGCGGTCCGGCGGCTTGTGCGGTCGGTAAACTCTCCAAGCCATCTCAGATACGCTCTCTCACTTGTTATGTTGTGACACACGGTTAAACGACCAAAATTTCTGCAATGAGACTGCTTGCTGATCGCAAAGGCATCATACGTCATTTACATGCAGTTCTTCATTATTTCAATTTATTAACGTATTTAAGTATATTTGCAACACTATTCTTAAAATTTTTGTTTGTATAAATTATCTCCTTAATAATTTTTGTGTGTTATTTATGTGTATGCGTTGTGTGTATGTGTTGTGCGTTGACTGTAAATTATAAATTATAAATAAGAATACATACCTGGTAATTATTTTACATTAGAGTCTGTATGCGTGTATACCATGTATATACAGGTACATATTTACAATGCTGTTAAATGAAATCTAAAATATTAATTATAAAAATGGTTTTTACTTACACATACTTTTACACGAAATATAATTTTTGATTGATGTTGTCATCAAGATCCACACTCGATATACCTTATGCTAAATTTCGAATGCATAAGTTATTGCATCTTAAATCATGCTTGCGTGAAATTGACCAAAGTTCGTTTCATGTATCATACATAGATATAATGATTTCGATCCTTGTGATAAGCGAAGAATCGAAGGATCTCTGCTACATGGAACATGCTCGGTACAGGGCATATTTATCCACATGCTTAAAGAGTAGAGCCATCCGAGGCAAATGGTGATGTATTAATCTTTTGAATACGCGTCAAACACGCACAGATACGATGGATATGTATACTATCTATCGCAATCGACGCTATCAAAATTCCGTGCCACTCTGCACTCGATACTCCGGTCTGATATCGCGAACGCAACCATCCATACAAATCGGATCTTACTAAATTGGAGTACAATTTTCACGAGCGGAGTTCCACGAGCTACGAAGGTAGGATAAGAAAAAACGAGAAGGGGAGGTAAGATAAAAGTCTCTATCCCTCTCTAAGCCGACCGTGGAAGATGAAGCGAATCAAGTAACAGCGGTGGCTTACGTGCGATGCACCCCTAAACCGTCGCTGAGGGAGCATCGTGGAAACGCGTTACCCACGAAAGGTCTGTGCTTAGAATTCTCAAGCCCGCTAAATTATATTTCACGTCACGGAGCCGATGATTCCTGAAATACATAAGCCGCGATGATAATCTCATTTTGTTAGTCGCGTTCGGCAATGTCGCGACGTCCTTCGCACTTCCGGAAATCTAACGGTGGGAAGAAGTACAGGAGTTAATGATGCATGTTCATAGGAAAGGGCATATCTAATTGAGATATCTTTTGAAATATTGAGAAATTCTGAAGAGAATATTGAGAATATGAGGTAATTTTCATTAGAAAAAAAATCTATACATCAGCAAAACTTTGATATGAAAGCTAGTGTACACAATTTATAAGATATTAGTGCTTAAAATGCACAAAATTTTCTATGTCTTACAAAATTAGTATTTAAACAATTTTTATACTACATATTAATGCTTGAATGGTATACAGGCATACAGACGCTAATGTAAAATAATTACCATTTATATATTCTTATTTATAATTTATAATTTACAGTCAATGCACAACACATACACATATTAATTAAATAATACATTGTCTAATGTATAATGCAATCTTGTCTTTATATTATATTTTATGTAAGAATACATATCATGACTGTTACATATTCTGACTTTAAATTAGATATACATATATAGCAGAATTTTTTCAGTCCAAATTATTAGTTAATCTAATTGTCTAAGCTTCTACATTGTTATCACTAGAATTGTTATTGTTGTCGTTGTCGCCATTGCCATTATCAAAGGTGCTGTCGATTTTATCGCTATTATTAGTTGTGCTGTTGTTTCCCTCATTATTAGGTGTGCTGGTTCCATTTCCATCAATGGGTGCGCTGTTGTTTCCATCACCATCATCGGGTGCGCTACTGTTTCCATCATTACTTTCGGGTGCGCTATTGTTTCCATTGCCATCTTCGGGTGCACCATTTCCATCGCTAGCATTGGGTGCATCATTTTCTTCATCGCCTTTGGCTGAATTGTTATTTCCATCTCCAGCATCTGCTGCGCTTTTTCCTCCATTGGCACCTTCGGCTGAGTTGTTATTTCCATCCCCAGTATCTGGTGCGCTGTTTTCTCCATCGTCACCTTCGGCTGCGTTATTTCCATTTCCGGCACTGTTGCCTCCATCGCCATTTCCGCCTGAGTTGTTATTTCCATCCCCGGTATCCGGAGCGCTGTTTTCTCCATTGCCACCATCGCCTGAGTTGTTGTTTCCATCCCCGGCATCTGGTGCACTATTTCCTCCATCGGTACCTTCGCCGGAGTTATTGTTTCCATCCCCGCCATCGGGTGCGCTGTTTCCTCCATCGGTACCTTCACCTGAGTTATTTCCATCTCCGGCATTCGGTGCGCTGTTTCCTCCATCGGCACCTTCGCCTGAGTTATTGTTACCATCCCCGGTATCCGGTGCGCTGTTTCCTCCATCGCCACCTTCGCCTGAGTTGTTATTTCCATCCCCGGCATCTGGTGCGCTATTTTCTCCATCGCCACCATCGCCTGAATTGTTGTTTCCATCTCCGCCATCGGGTGCGCTGTTTCCTCCATCGCCACCTTCGCCAGAGTTATTATTTCTATCCCCAGCATCGGGTGCGCTGTTTGCTCCATCGGCACCTTCGCCTGAATTGTTGTTTCCATCTCCGCCATCGGGAACGCTGTTTCCTCCATTTCCGTTTTCGCCTGAGTTGTTATTTCCATCCCCGGCATCAGGTTCGCTATTTCCGCCATTGCCATTTTCGCCTGAGTTGTTATTTCCATCGCCGGCATCTGGTGCGCTGTTTTCTCCATCGCCACCATCGCCTGAATTGTTGTTTCCATCTCCGCCATTGGGTGCGCTGTTTCCTCCATCGCCACCTTCGCCAGAGTTATTATTTCCATCCCCGGCATTCGGTGCGCTATTTCCTCCATCGGTACCTTCGCCGGAGTTATTGTTTCCATCCCCGCCATCGGGTGCGCTATTTCCTCCATCGGCATTTTCGCCTGAGTTATTTCCATCTCCGGCATTCGGTGCGCTGTTTCCTCCATCACCATCATCGCCAGAGTTGTTGTTTCCATCCCCGGCATCCGGTGCGCTGTTTCCTCCATCGCCACCTTCGCCTGAATTGTCATTTCCATTCCCAGCATCCGGTGCACTGTTTCCTCCGTGGCCACCTTCTCCAGAGTTGTTATTTTCATCCCCTGCATCCGGTGCGCTGTTTCCTCCATCGCCACCTTCGTCTGAATTGTCATTTCCATTCCCAGCATCGGGTGCGCTGTTTCCTCCATCGCCACCATCGCCTGAATTGTTGTTTCCATCCCCGGCATCCGGTGCGCTGCTTCTTCCATCGCCACCTTCGCCTGAATTGTCATTTCCATTCCCAGCATCCGGTGCACTGTTTCCTCCGTCGCCACCTTCTCCAGAGTTGTTATTTCCATCCCCGGCATCCGGTGCGCTGTTTCCTCCATCGCCATTTTTGCCTGAGTTGTTATTTGCATCCCCGGCATCGGATGTGCTTTTGTTTCCATCACTATTGTTTTCTTTGCTAGTTTTAGATGTGCTATTACTTTCTTCACTACTTTCAGATGTGCTACTGCTTTCTTCACTACTAGATGTGCTCTTATTAGGTCTTTTGGTAGTTGGAGCAGGTGTTGAAATATCTTTTGCATAACACTCCATGGATATAAGCATCCCTTCTTTACGTCTTCCCATAACTATTATTACTACATTTGTTGAATCGAGTTTTTTCGGTATAAATAGAGTTTGTGTATTTCGTATATTTCTGATTTGACATTTGGTGAGACGTGCACCTTCTGGAGAGCTTGCACCGACTGTAGCTATCATGGGCTTCCCAATGGCAGGCTGCAAATTATAGGGTATTAATAAAATTATGAGAATGCGTGAGAAAAATATTATTTGGTTATTTGAAATTTAAATATGTAGAAATATCTATCATCAATAAATTTATTAATAAAATTAATTTTTACGAGAATAAATTAATAAAGTTAATGTAATGATGCATTGTATGACTTATATTTTTTCTTTAAAGTTTCGTTTTAAGTAAATTGATGAAAAATTATGTAATATGAAGTTAATTCAAATAGCAAATTTAAGATACGTTAGAAAATTTGTCGCATTACTTTTAATATCTACAAAATTTATTATATATGGAAGTTAAAATATATGTAGTAAAAATGTTTTAAATTGAAAAATTTGATAATTAAAATTTGGATTCTGCAATGTTTTAAGATAAATTGTTTCACATTGAATGAATATACAATACAATGTACATGAATAATTGCGACCAAAATAGTTAATTACCTTGGAAATGGTTCTATTAGTAATGAGATAATCATTTTCTTCACGTTGACCTATATTAAAATTATCCTGATAATTATTGCCTGCGTGTCTGCAGGTAGCCAAAGTAAGGCACAAAAGCACACTAAATAAAATCCGCATCTTGTGAAACTAAACTTGTCTAGCGGTCCGTTAACTAAAATCAAACTGCTCAATTAATATTCGCTGAACACATTTATATCTCCTCGTTATCATTCCCGTGCTTGGCTCCACAAAGAATCGCACCATATTAACTCACAGATTTCTATCTCTATCTCGACAGTGACAACAGCTTACGTAAGCTTATTTGTTTCATATCTTCTGTTACTTTCCTGCAGGTTGTAGAAATTTCTCGGCATGACGTGTTTTTTCATGTTATTCTTTTATACACTGTGATAGAAGAGAGCATGCACTAATTAAATGTAATTTTACTTTCAGAGATTTTAGAGTTTTTCAATTTTTTTTTTTACTTAACACATGTAATGTGTTTTTAATATATTACTTATTATTTTCTATATATGATATTACGATTAACATATGGCTATTATTATATTAAATAAATTGCAGTATGTGGAAAATTATTTCATGAATGATTGAATAACATAATAATTAATGATAGGAGCAATAACAATAGATTTATTAGACATACTCAAAATATCAAAATGTCTCCAAGTATCTTATTAGGATGAAAAAAATTAATGCTGTGTAATGTATCGATAAAGGATTCTTTTTATTTGTATTTTATAAGACACTATTTACGATTTACTATTTATTACATATTATAATATTCTACTCTTCGTAATATTATGTCATAAAATTGATATTTAATAAAAATATCGCTCGCACATCTTTGTATCACGTGACATAATTATCTTTCTGGTAATTTACATATCTTCATACATTTCCAGCTCATTGTTAGCATATTGACTACTGCTCATTGGGGGTCTGATAACGTAAATACCATTGATAAGCATTGCAAGTGTGATTAATTAACTAGTACCAGACTTTTCTGACGCAAATGCGTGTTTAATCGGAAACAAATGATACTATCTGGAAAACAACGCGTGAGAGGCATCGCGTGTAATTTCTGCGGAATAGTGGAATATTTCAAAGACTTTATCATACAGACACGTCCTACCCGTGACATTGTACCTTGAGATGTAAATAAAATAGATATGATCAGTTATTTGCTAATTATCTCGATTTATTTTATAAAATATTTTATAGATATGTAAATAAACATATAGATACATAATATACATGCATAAAACATTTTGATATTTTTAAGTTAGTTTTTTGCAGATAGTTGCATAATTATTCGTCAAAAATCAGTTTAGGTAAGCACCGTCTTGGAGAGATATCTTCGCAATTAACAATTAATTATGTTTACTCTTTTGTTTGTATCAATAATGTCGTCGTGATTTTTTCTGATCCTCGCGTCTCTGTCGGCCATATCGCGCAAATTAATTCCTTTTCATAAATTCAACGCGAAGGAGCGTTTCATATTCAACGCCATAACTCGAAACGTGTTCCTCGGTACGTGTGTAATCTCGAATCTCAGACTCATCATTTTCAGCCGCGTCAGCTTATGGTACGTGAGACCGTAAGAATTAGCTAAGTGAGTAGCTACGGTAGTAGCTCTACGGCTTTTACGGATGCAGAACCACAGGAAAATCCTGGCTGAAACGAACGAATCATACGAAATTGACAAACAACTTATCCCCTATCATCGAGGGACAACTTACAAATATTTTCCTATGTAGACAATGATGACCGTTTAATAGCTGATAGACATCAAAAAGCGTTTCCGGCCTACCACTGACAATTTCTGAGAGCTGCTGAGAAAGTATGTAAGATCCCTTTTACAATTCACTCCTAATAACGAATTTAAAATTTATATTTGAGACGTTAAACACTGCCGGAAGTGCTTGGATTCGACAGATCATTAATCTCTTTAATACTTATATATAATTTCCCACCTTTTCTCTGTCAAAAATATTGATTTGTCACAAAGTATGTTGCATCTAAATTTTTGATCCTAGGTATACACACTTTTCATATACTTGATTATTGCTCTGGGATCTAGGGAATCCCCGTCAATATTTTTATCATGGTACTTGATAAAATCACTGTATTGTGGTAAATCTTTGTCAATTGATCGTAAATGAATTAAAAGAATACATCTATTCACTAAAAAAAATAATAATAAATGTATGCGTTAAACATGATCCATCTATTTATCAATTCTACTAATAATAAAGTTCTGAAATTTCATTGGAGTCTAAGAGAGCCTAGCGTGTATATACCTAGGATTAATATAAAATAAAAAATAATTGATGTTTTTAACACAAAAGATTTATAAAATACGGATGTAAAAGGATATTATTAATAGGGCAATTTGCAATCTGTTGGGGATACATTCGTTAATAATACATTACATAATAAAATTGGAACAATAGATTTATTTTCGATTCAGGGGAGTTTATTATGTATTAATTTCCATTAAAAAAGTACGAATGAATTCAATTTATCCGCAAAGAAATATAAAATGTTTAATCCTATTAATTTATGAATAGTTATAAATTCACGTTTTACAAAGATACGTATTATTTTATGAGAAATTCAATTTAAATACTATAAAAAATGGATTTTTAATCGATATTTATATATCGATCGAGCGTGTGGGTACATTCGTTGTGCAGATACATTCAAAATTTTTATTATAAATTATCAGAGAAATTGCGAGATGAATAATTCATTGAATGATTTTGCAATCGTACATCTATAATCTTAATTTAATTTAATACGTTATATTGCTCGATATATAATATATTATACAAAATACGTTTATCATTTGTCAATCTAAAATTTTCTCCATCAGATTACATTCCACGTAAAATTTCAAGAAACACGAAATAAGTTCAACATTGAACAGATAAGAAATCTTATCTCGTTGAGATCATGGTCGTTATAATATCCTCATTATTTTGTTCGGTTGATCTAAAATTAACTGGTGAGTGAATCAGAGATATGCCGTCAGTATTTCACTCGAAATGTTTGCCATATGCAAATCGAATCGAATTGTAAATATTTTCTTATAACAAGCATATTCACAATCAGTATGTTACGTAAGAATAGAATCTATGTCCTTTTATTACGCAATCATGTTTAAGATTACGTGGTCATTTATATAAACTATAATTGCGTATATAAAATTTTTGAAAAGAGCGTTAATTAATGAATAGAATTTGTCTTTTTACTACACGATCATGTTTAAAATTATGTGTTTCTTTATATAAACTATAATTACGTATATAAAATTTATTTTTTTAAAAAAGCTTTAATTAATAAGTTTAAATTATTAAATCAATTTAATTCTGAAGAGCTTGTTTAGCAGATAGCAACGTAGCGATCACGCACTCCATTAAAATAATTAGAATATATTTTGAATCTTTAATATTTAAATTTGAAGATATAATTTCACTGCGATTCACTGTTGTGTGCCAGATAAAGGGGAGGAGATGCTTAACGATCGCCTTTGAAACGTTTTTCGTACCAATATGTAGATGCGCTGCACCATCGCATCCCCAGTATTGCGTATATGTTCACGCGGCTGCTGGTAATTACTCACGTCACGTAGCCGTGTTGCTGGCCACGGATGCCATTTTTTATACTATCAAGAGGTGCCAGCAGCCCGCGCAGTCCGCCATCCAGCGGATAATATCGGCCGGTGCTTTTTATTAACGCCGAGAAGAAGAGAGACCGTGTATCGATCCAATAAACGCCGTCACGTCGGATCGGGCGAGAACAATCGCTACAGAGGATAAAATTCTCCGCTTGATCTGACCGCGAGTGGAAATGGCACGTCACGTACCGGCGATCTCTTCTTTCATTAACGTTACGAACGTTTCACGCATCGCTCCTAATCACTGCCCGCGAGTACAAGCGATCACGAACATCGTGGAGAAAGAAACCTGCCGTTCCCCTCTTCCTCTCCGCCATTTATACACGTGCGCGTATGCTCGTGTTTCTACAATTCCCGTAGGACTTAAATCCCGACTATAGCTTCTCGTATTTATCAAGCTATTGTTTATTCTATCCTTCAAACAAGATCTTTCTATAATAGAAAGTTTAACACAATAAAAAATATCTTGTCAGATATATAAGTTATAATCGGACAAGTAAAATGTAAAATAATAAGTCGAACTTTTCACAATTTTTACATAAATCTTCTTTACCTCTATTTTAAAGCAATTATATCTTATTTTATAAGCTGCTTTTGTAATTTTATAAGCATTTTAATTTTTTTAAACAAATCCGACGAAATTTTATGGACAAAATGAATTGTCGAAAGTATTTTTGATTCATCGTCATTGGAATTAATTTCATCCTACGCTGACATTATTATTTCACGTCCATTATTGCATGTTGCGTAAAAATGAAGAATTTTGTTCGCTTCACACTATAAATTTCCAAAATTTCCCGATGTCAATCAGAGCATCAATTCGATAAATATTGAACTAGGTGGGGTATCAATCAACCATCAATGCGTCTTGTCCTGAGCAGACACGCAAATGGCTGACTGTGAACATACTCTCTCCTTGCGGTGACACCGATATCGCACTACGTACTACGCATCGTTTGTCATCATTATCCGTACCGTAATTAAAACTTTCCGACTTATGATGAAGGATTGCGCGACCTGATTTCCATGAAAATAGAATGGTCATCGTAAATATCACGCTTTGCCCCATATAAAAACATAACATTGTTCAAAAACTGTCATTTCGACCAGCGCGATATGAAATACGCTCCGATCCTGTAAAAGTTCGCCGCAAGAGACTGCATCGTGTACTATTATATGAATTAATAAATAAAAATATAAATATTTACTAAATAACAAATAAATTATACAATAATGATTATATTTATAAAGTAAATTTATTATTATGTGAATATTACATAATAAGAAATTATAATAATGAAATATATATAATAATGAATAATGTAATAAAAACATATATAAATAAAATTGGTAATAACAAGAAATAATAAGAAATATTAATATTTAACACTTGGAAATCTTGTTCTTGAACTTCTGTTCTTTACTCATAACAGCTTCATTAATAATTAATGCACGAGATAAGCTCTGGAGAATGATATATCATCGTGAAATTATACTTTCCAATGCGTGATACATTTAG